AGAATCCAGGGGCCAGCCTAGCCATGTCCAAAGCGGGTGGACCCTCCGGCTCGGCCGTCTAAATCCCCCATTGTTCCCCCATAGCTTTACCAACACTTGCCTATCTCTTTTCCTTCGGAATGATTTGTCGTTTTGATACAATGCTCCTATGTTGTTTAATTTTCTAGATTCGCCATGTGTTTTCTCTTTTTGGCGCTTTACTTCAGCACTCTCTTTTTTGATTTAGCTGGTTAACATGTATGTTTTAGTTTGGGCCCAACTCCTAGTCCCGGCCCGTTTACCTGCCCGAGCTCAATCCCTGGATTGGCCATCGTGCCGCCCAATCGATCCAATGCCCTTCGCCGTTTCTGATTGGACCTTCGCGCGGCTCAAGGCTGCTTTATCGGTTCGGCTGCCTCGAGACTTGACCGCCTCTTCGGTTCCTTTGCCCTGGCTTATTTATAAGTCCCCCTGGCCTCTACTCTGCTCCATCACCAAATATCCCCCTTTTCTCCATTCTTGCCATGTCTAAAGGAATTCCTGTTTCTCTAGATCTTTCCGACGGGCCGGCTCCTTCTTCGCCGGAGCCTGCCTCTTCCCCCAAGTCAGTCAATTCCAATGACTGGGGGGGCTTGACCCTTACGAATTCTGTCGCCGGTTGCCTCGCCGGCAGTGGCCATCGGTGAAACCGCCGCCACCACCTCCAAACCCGTATGAAGACTTTAATGAGGCGTACGAGGCCCTCTCCGCCAACCGCCTGCCTGACGGGCGGATTGACTGGGATGCTCCATGCCCCCTCCATTCCTTGCAATGTATGGCCTGGGAGAGCTTTCAAGATGAGCACTTACCCCTCCTGGAGCATGAGTGCGCATATTACGCATGTTTTGAGCGATGGACTAGCGAAAGTCGCACCGGTTCGCCGGTGAGGCCTTCGGAGGAGGTTGTGTTAGGGAAAGAACTGGGTTCTCCCCTACCTCGCCCCGCTTGCCGTTCACTTCCCCAGAAGACCCCTAGGCGACCTGAAGTAGCTCGGGCGGCTTCAGGATCTCCGTCCTCGCCTAGGTGATGCTGGTTGGGGTTCACAGAGAAGTGAGCCGTCCCCCGTCCTTCCTTGGTAGGAGAAGGGCGGTGGGTTTTTGCCGAGGCTGGGGGCGACCACTCCCGTTCCATGTTGGGGAAGAAAGGTGGTCGTCCTGGACGGCCGGTGATCGGAGTTTTGCTTGCCTATACAGCCGCAGAACTACCTTTCAGACCTGCCTGTCCCCCCTAGACCTTCGCTCGCAAAGTCTTAGATTGTTGTTTTTCATTGTAGGAGATGTATGGGGAAGTATCCTTCCT